TCCCAGCGCATTCGCTGAACTCGTTTGAAATGGGGACTTCCCAAACTCGGAGCCTGCGGTGAGCCCCGAAGATCGGATCGGCCGGAAAGCTCCGATCCGATTCGACGATTCGAGAATTCGAGGCCTGGTGGGCGCGAGGTGCGCCAGCACTTTGTCCAGCGCCCCGCTGAGCATCGCCTGCTGGAGGCTCTGCTTGCAGCTCGCCCTCGGATGCGGCGAGCGAAGATGCACGCATAGAGACGCCCGGTCGATGGCGTCAGAAACACAGACGGGTAAAACATGCGACCCCAACTGTACAGGCAGGTTCTACCAGCTAAGAGGCAATTAGAAAACTCTTGTGAGTTGACCTTTTAAAGGGAAATCCGAACTAAAAAAGGGAACAGGAGAAGAAGGAACAAAAGAAGGGAGCTTCGCTACACTTGATCCCATTGAAAGCACCCTGGCACGCCCTCCGCTCTGGCCTGTGAATTTTCATCTTAAATGGACCTCAGGGTAGGCTCCATATCAAGGGAAGAGGCAGCAAGGCCCCCCATGTCTGTGTGAGATGACGCCAAAAGGTAGACCAGCCCCAAAGCGACAAAGGCCCCCAACCCAAGAAAAGAATCGAAAATTTGGAGCCCATTGAGAGGGGCCTTGTTTCCCGCACCCAAAGGCCAGGCTTCGCGGCTTCGGCCCAAGTCGGGGCTCCCTGCCACGCGGCAGCCGCCTGGGCGTCCAGCAAGGACTCTGGGGGCGGCGCGTCCGCCTCGTCCTTGCCTGGAGGCCGGTGCCGCTGTGTTGATCTCAGGGAACCCTTTCAAAATTAATGCGATTGTAAATGGTTTCCCGTAAAAGCCATCACAAGACTGGTACCCTCAACAAAAAGACAACCCATCCTTCTGGGGTTGTGTCAAAAATAGGGCTTTGGACCCCCAAAATCCACACAAAAAGCGGGCACCCATAGCACGTGATCAATGTGGATGACTTTCAAGCTTCTTGGCAAAAATTGTGTCAAGCCGGCAAACATGCGTTGGAGAAGATACCTGGCCACCTTGGAGCAAAAGAGAGGGTTACATAATAAAACGGGAACCCTGCGGAAGATATGCACGGAAAAATGGGTTTCAAGCAACTTCGCAAAGACCAGGAAGAACGAGCGCAGAAGCTTCGGCTAGCCTATGACTAGCGGCCTCACAGGTGTCAGTTGCGTTTCGCAGCTGCAAAACTATGGGTACCGTAAGGAATCTACAAGGAATAATTAGACAGAGCTCGTGGGGAACTACTAAGACAGATTAGCGCATGATCGTAGAACAAGGCGTGTGCTTATTTAGCCCCTTGCATTTGCTCGTACACCAAGCCGCGATTTTGCAGGGTACAAGTTTTCCCAGAGGGTTTCTTATGGGGAAACATCCAAAAAAGAGCTGTTGCCCATTTTATATTGTCCTCGAAGGCGCTCCCCTCGAAAAGGGAGCCACACTCAGGTTAAGTGAGCTGGGAGTGGGAAGATCGTCAAAGTTCGCTTGCTCGAAGTTCTACCTCCGGGTAAGTTTCAACTCGGGATTGTGACAAGCACCTAGAAGGCAGAGTTGTGCAACCAACCAACTAGCCAACCCGCCAACCCGCCAAACCAGCCAAACCAGCCAAACCAGCCAGCCGCCGGCAATAGGAAAAAGGAAAGGTGTAAGAACATGGCAACGCCTCATTCACACAGAGGTAGATCAAAAGGCACGAATGAACCAAGTGACCCCAAACCTCTCATGTGATTGAGCTGTACGAGACGGAGGGCTGCCAAGCCCACCGGTGTTGGGAAACCAATCAAAAAGAGCACAACAGGAAACCGAAGAAAAAAAACAAAGGCAACCAAGGATGCCAGAATCAGAAGGAGAAAAACTAGATACAAACACACACACACGCCAATAGAGTTGAGGGCACCCATTTGGGGAGGTTTCAAAAGGAAACCAAAAGGAAAACCACCATTTTGGAGGGGGCCCTAAAAAAGACGCACTGAATCGGGACTTGAACAGACCCACTTGTTGACGCCGACAAAAGTCAGATCCTTGGACCTAGGCTAGGCGTTCTGATTCCCCCCCCCCCCCCCAGCGCCGAAACCGGAACACGCCTCGCAACGCGCGCCTCGCATTCCACGCAAAAGGGACGGTTGGCCCACAGGATTCAGCAGTCCGACTGTATTTGTCAGATAGCATCACTGACCTCATGAAAAAAGGCTCTTGTCAAAGTTGGAGGTTTAAACCTGCGACCGTCAACCGCTTTGGATGACGTAGAACCCCAAAGGAAGAGGCAAGCCTTCGAAAGGCCGTCAAGCCTGAGCTTGGTTTCAGGTTGGTCACAAGGCCACTATCGCGGCATGCGCGCCTACTCTATCGAGAAAAATTGCCTTCTTCATACCTCCACCTGTGAAAATCGAGGATCTGAGTTGTGGCTAGATTCCAACAGGATTGGCCACACTCACCAATGACCAACACCAAACTCGAGTGTCTTTGGGGGGACACAATGAACATTGAATAGTTATCCAATGTATTTGTTCTGCGTCGCTGATCGTATTTCCCAGTTACACAATTGATCAATCACTCACAAGGAGGCACTTCCGCAAGCAAACACGAACTCGGAAAATGGGAGGCGAACGCGAGCGGCTTTCTTTGTGGAAACTACCTCCTAAGCTTTTGGTATACGGCAGAGCAATATGCTTGGCTCTGCTCCATATCGCAGCTGAACTCGTCAAATACTTCCAACAGAGATCCCGGAACAACCGGGTGTGGCAGGGAGGCAAATATCTTGGATTTGTCTATTAGGACAAATCATGATGTTGCTCTCAAAATCAAACTCCTAGGCAATATATTTAGCGCTGCATACTCCATTCCACCCTCTGAGGAAATTGGCTTGGGGTAGCAGAACCCATGTCAAAGTTACAAAACAGGGTTGCCAACAAGAAAGGAACATTCACGGAATGAAACCTCCAAACAGGTTCTTCCCAAGTCTTCAAACTGTAAACTGTAAAACTGATGGGTCTTTTGTGAATTCTCGTTTCCTGACCAGTTCTGTTTTTTCAAGAACGGAACCGGGAATGCGATGCAAACCATTTTGTGGTAGGCTGAGCACGTCGCCAATATGTTCAGCACCACCCTTGGCGTGTAAAGAACTTGCCTCAAAAACAGCCATGCTCATGGACATGGCTTTACGAGAGCCCAAAGCGTTGCCTTCTCCTAGGCTCCGGGATAGGCCCCCGGCTCCCCCCCCCCGGCCCCCCCCCCCGCCCCCTTGGAGGTCCGTGACATACAGATTTCGGGCTCCGCACAGGCAGCTTGCGGCCAGCGCCAAGTTCCTGAGCCAAAACAAGCGGGGGCCAGCCGCCAGCGGTTGGGTTTCTCGTTTGGTTGGGCCGGTGCGTTTGCCGTGTTCGGTTTGGGTAGGTGTTTCTCAGGTCTTTGCTGGTCAGTCGGGAATTTGACGAACTAACCCCAACCACGCACAAAAGGACCCAAAGAAAACTGGATGAGAAACCGGCGCTACAAGCGGCCCAAAGCCAAACACAGCCTGCGAGCCAAAAGCTCGCAAACTGAAACCAGTGCTCCCATTCGATGCCAGTGCAAGTTTGGCCGGAACCGGAAAATCAAACGGCACAGGACCAAATCGACCCTTGTAATTGGTCATTTTTAGGTCAGGAGCAACCCTGGCCACGGCAGAACCAGGCCATGGCTGACTGTTGCTTGCGAACCCCAAGCGCTATCATGTTTGGAGGGATCTCCTTTGGGGGGGGGGCCTTTTTTGGGTTCTATGTCAATTTGTAGGGAGTATCTCATGCTTTAGGAGGGGCGCCAAAGTTTTGCCCAGATTGGCCGCGGGTGTGTGTGCTTTTTGGCCCAGCCTGTGAACGGCTTCTTGATAAGAAGACAGAAGTGGCCCAACCCTCATCGACCGTGCTTTTGGCTGTGGCCAGCTGAGCCATGACCTTTCCCTGGTGAGTCACCAATTTGGGTGGCCTTTGCCAAAGGCGCCATCTTCCCTGGTGAGGTTTTTGAGATACCCCCATTTGAGTCACAATTAAAACCTGGTATTAAAATGGTCGTAATCCCAGAACCAGGTAAAGAATTTAGAAGGCGGCTGCACACAATTAAAGGGTTGGGATTATTCCTTACTAACCTTCATCTACCCGGTTTTTATTTGTGGCTCAGTTGATACATCTATTGAGCAGAATTCAAAAATAACATAATAATAAACAATCATAGGTTCCAAAGCTTGTTGAGCAAAGTTTGTTTAAATGGTTGCTCATTTTGAGGTCAAACTGAACTCGTGGCCTTTTGTTCCACGTCCCCGAGGGCCCGGCCCGGCGCACTCCGCGCTGGGCGCTGCGCAACTGGCCGGTCCCGGACCCCGCAGCCAGACCTGAGCCACAAAGCCTAGAGATGCCTACGTTTGGCATGGGGTTGACTGCTTTTTTTGAATTTGGGGCGTTTGGTTTGGGGTTTGGTTTGGGGTTTGGTTTGGGGTCCGGTTTGGGAGTCTGGGGGCTTGACTCAAATGGTTTGCCTGAATTGGGGGGCAACTGAAAGTGGGGGTTTGGGGTGTGCCAAACACAAGTTCGTGTTTTTCTGTCGGACCGGAGGGCTTTCAGCAGTGGCTGCAGCTGTCGCAGCGAATGGAAGGCGGCTATGCTGAGTCGACTATTCGCTGTGCGGGGATGGTTGAATTGCAAACGTAAGAAACCATATTGGGGAGGGTGCCCTCGTTTATCCAGGGTCGCCAAAGGATCCTAAACAAGGCGGCCAATTTCTGAAGTTCTGCACAACTCTCATGTGTGGCCCCTTTTTGGGGCCACATATACAGATACATTTGTTTTTATATATGGATATGAATTTTCATGAGGGTCCGACCACCAATCACTTTTGAGTTAATTCCAACTCTTAAAATTCATGGCCATATCATTTTATATATATATATGTAACTGCTCACCACCCCCTCCTCCCCCGCCAACCCCCCCCCCCCAGCACCAGCAACACCCAGCGAGCCTGGCCCAAGCAGAGCTCAAAGGAGGGCACCTCCAGAGTGACTCGTTCTGACCGAAGGACCGCGGGCGCGGGGAACATGAGGCTCAACTCCGCTTCCGGCAAGTGCTCCCTCTAGTTGGCTGGTTTGAGGACTTTCCGAAAACCCATGTTTAGTTTCGTGGAACATATCGCGGGTTTAAGGTTAGACATGTGTCAAAAGAGCACATGTGAACAACCAAGACAACCTGCAAGGCTTCGAAAGGAATCTTCTCGAAGGCTCTGATGAAAAAGGCTCGGTCCGATTCTACTGAGTTTTCTTGAAACCCAGTTCAATTCCAACTGGATCAAAAGACAAATCACGTTGTGTCATTGGCTTCAAAAACCCAGGTCCCACGCCAACCCACTCTGTATAACAATCATGGTAATAATAATACTACTCATTGTAGAATAAGCGCTGGCATCCATGAAATCTCATGTTAAGAACAATATGTTTTAGACCACTACCTGGCCAAACGATGCCCAATGTGCAGAAGTCCAAACGTAGAACCTACAGCAAGTTTGGTGCTTGCTGTTGTGATGCTGTTCCGCTCGTTTGCCTTTGCAAGCGCTGCTATGAGCAGATTCACACTAAAGAGGAAGTGGAGAATTACATCTTTCCAGTTCCCGAGGGCTGACATCGTCACCCTGGCGAAAGGCTCCGAAGGCTCGGCAGCAGGTCGCCCAGAGATGGCGTCTGCAGCTCTTCTGCGCTCATGCGCAAGACCCGGCCATCCGGAAGCAGCAGGCGCAGCCGGTGCGGGTCCACACCAGACTGCGAAGAAATGGCCCGGCACATTTCTGGGACGGCTTCAGGATGGGCAAGAGCCAGAGACAATCTGGCGAGCTCCCTACCGCTAGGCTGCACAGCTGCCACTGTGACCTCCTCCAGGTTGGCATCCTGCGAAAAGTTGAGGTTTGCAATGACGACGTTGGAGTCCTCGTTCACCCACTTCTGGCAGCATCCAACCGCTTTGTCAAAGAAGGAAATGTCCTCTTCGCTGATCCGATGGCGGAACACCACCTCTCCGCCGTCAAACAGCTCGACTACATGCCCCATTGCACGCATGCGGTGGTCATGAAAATCATCAGGCATGTTAAAGATCGCAAAACTCTCGACGTTCACGGGCTTTGCCAGGAGCACCTCCAGCCATCCGTTCTCCGCATGGGCTGTATGATTGCAGGGGCCTGCACGAATTCCATCAATGACACACTCCGCGCGTCCCCAGGCGCGCCCATTCCCGTGCAAAGTGGACTGTTGGGCAGATCCGCCATGTTCCCGCAGCGCATAGTTGACCCCGTCAACCCCGTAAACCTCAACTTGGAAGAGATGAATAGGATTGTCAGCTGACTCATGTGACACTCGCAGCTTGCTCACAGACTCCCATGTCAGTGTCTTGCCGTCATTTGTCTGAGGCCGCACGTATCGCACTGGAATGGCCTTTGAGTCTACAGTCGACATGGTAGCACCTGCCCAGCGCACGGACTTGGACGTAAGTTGCTACATCCTTTCTTGCTTGCTTTGATTGTCATTGCTGTTGCCAAGCAGCCACGTCCTGAAGTCATGTTTTTCCGGCACCTTCCGGCACGGTATCATGCGCTGCCCAACCAGTCTTGCATATGTTCAAGCCAAGGTTGTGTTGAATTCCAACTACCCAAACTGAATGCTAAACTCGTGGGGTGGTGATCGGGGCACATGGCCCGCCCAAACAGTTGGTTTCTTCTATGTTTCTGCTGAAACCATCCAAAGAAATTATCCCAAACCTTCGATACACAAGTACTTCAGTCGCTTCCCGATCCCCTGTGTGTTACTGTGCTAGTGAAAACAGTTTGTTCTTCGACCCCCCCCGAGAAAAAAAAATGTGTTTCTTCAACTAATTACTGTTTCACCTCGGGCACCTTTTCACTTGAAAAAACATAGGGTCTGCGGTACACGCAAGTCTGATTCGGGGTTGAGTGCCTCACGCACCCCCCCATGCCTTCGCCGTCTATTCACAACTCAAGACCCCCCGTGCCGCTTTCGGCACACTCTCACGCTTCTTGAAGATGGAGTACCCGGTGAACTCCCGCAGCCCGGAACGCGCTCCAGCCGTGTAGTCACCGCCCAACACGAAGATGGGTCCAGAGGTCCTCATCACCGTGGCTCGCTCTGGCCCGATCTTCTCCTTCAGCATGTTCCCCCTCCGAGGGTCAAGCTCCGAGATCCCGCCCCCACGATGCAGCGATGCGGTGGGGGGGGGGGGGGGGGTTCCAAAATCGTCGGGAACACCATCTTGATCCAGATGATAGTCTCCTTCGCATCCAGGGACACCCTCCACTCCGGCCCGCAAGGTCCGGGCGCGTGCGCCGGCCAGCTTGACGAACTGCCAGCACTTCTTTCACGCCGGTCAATGCATCTTCACTTCTCCCTTTTCCCACACTCCATTCCCTTTCATCTTCCGAGCTCTCGCTCTTCACCTTTCTCCCAAGCAGGGCCGCCCTTCAGCACCCTGACCTTCATCCTTTTCGCTTCATCGACATACGCCCGCAATCCTCCTCCGGTCGTCGGTCGTGAGCCCAAAACAAGGCCCGCCGCCTTTTTTCCCTGCCCACTTGATGGCTCCCACGAAACTACGACGGACATTAGGAGCGCAGTCCAAAACAACAACTCTTCCATGGCCGCTCATCTTCCAAACCAGCTGCGTCAGCTGCACCACCTTGGCTGTGGCATTCTCCAGAAGGTCTCTGAAATTCTCCTTTTTGTCCGAAACAAGACTTCGCAAGGCCTTGGCGCGGATGTCCGCCACCATCGTCTCGCCTGGCAGGTGCTGCAGGCAACCAAAAGCCGTGCTCGAAAGGTTCAGCAACCTGCGCCCGAGCGGCTGTGTTATTCTGTGGCATGACCACCTTGAGCGAGCCTTACACCACACGGACACAACCTTCATGTCCTCCAAGTCGGCGATGACCATAGCCGCTAGGCTCCGCTGTTGGGTTGCACACGATGACGCCCTGACCTTCCTCCACCCGGCCCAAAGCCGGGCATCCGCATAGACCCATACATGTACTCACTGTTCTTGCCATAGCCCTGCGCTGGGCCACCAAAACTAACTGCCAGAATGACTCTTCGTCTTCCAGTGGGCAAAAATCTTCCGCTCCTTCTTCATCTTCAACCCTCCAGCTTACACTCCATCGTCTTCGTCGTAGCTGCCGAGCAATACTAAATAAGCTGGCTGATGTGGTTCAGGCCATGGCTGCTGTCTCCTCCTTGATGTGGACGATGTCCTGCTCCCACACCATCCACACAGCAGCAGATGCAACCCACCGTGGTTTCCCCAAACCCCTCCGCACATTCTCGTCGGCGAACTGGACCAAGACCTTTCCTCCTCCAACCGGGGGCAATTCCTTCACCTCCGACCGGTCTTTGGACTGAGGCTCCTCTCGGGCTCTCCTCCTTCTTGTTGGCATCACCTGCATCCTTCGAAGTTGACCTCGACCTTTTCCACCTCAGACCAAAAAGAAGGGATTCACCTCCGCTCCAGCCTCAAATTCTCCTCCGGCCTTTCCGTAGCTTGGCTCCGTGGTGCCCTCTCCTAGATGGCTCGGCCTCGTGGCGCTCTCCTGCCTGGATGCCGAAGCGCTCCTAGAGTCACCATCCACGGCCAACAGGTGCTCCTCATCCATTCCAGGCCTTAAGGCCCTTGTCCTTGTCGACAAAGCACTCCTTTGCAAGGCCGACCCTTCCAGTCCCCAGCTCTCCTCAGCTTCCCTTCGCCTCCTCCTTAGCACCTCCCTGGCACAGTGGAGCGAGGTCTTGGGCTCATAACCTGTATCAGCTTGGGCACCTTTTCACTTGAAAGATACAAATGCGGCACACGCAAGTCTGATTCGGGGTTGAGAGCCTCATGCAATAACAACGATAAAATCAAAAAACGAATGAGACCAAGACAAGTGCAGGCCCCACGGCTAAGACCCGAGTCCAAAAGGGATCCACACTTAGCCAAGTGAACTCTTGGTTCACACCTGGCCCCTCCTGGTTCACCAGTCGCACCTATTTAAAGATACTGACAACGAGCATGTAGTGAAAGCATACATCCGCTCACCCGAACAAACAGCCTCAATTCCCCGAAATCGGTGACAGGAAAAAACAAAGCACCAAACGAGCGAGAGAGAGAGAGAGACGTTAAATTTAGTTGATACTTTTCTTACAAGTGCAAGCGCTGTAGTGTTCAAACAAACAGTCAACCGATCTAGTCTGCAGCTGCCAACCTTTTCAGTCATGCGGAGTAGTAAGCTCAAGGCCTGCGGTAGTGAACATACATGCAACACAAGTGCAAAGGTGAAGCATGTAGTTTGACACGGCCCCTCAGTTAAAAGGTCTTTGTAGCACCTTTTCAACTGAAGTGCAAAACATGGGTTGACAGTAGTGATGAAAACCATTGTTGTTCATCAATTCTACTGTAGTGGCAAAAGTAGTGACCTGCGCTCAGTAGTTCACGCTGTTCAGGTTCCAGCTCGATGTAGGGCGCTGGATGGAAGTAGTGAGGCAGGCACTCGTTGTAGTGGAGCATGAGCTCAAAGATGTAGTCCCCATTTCTGGGCGCGATAGTCTTGGACCATCTGGAGTCTGCTGTCCAAGGTCGCGTAGTAGTGTATGGTGAAAAAGGTTGTCATGTAGTTTGGGGCTCCCCGTAGTCGCTCGTCGTCTATCTCGGGGCACGACATGTGTTGGTCGTACTCCCTGAGAAAGCGGTGTAGTAGTGCTTTGTGATGTTGAGTGAGGTTTGTCATGGTGAGTAGTGTGAATCCGTAGTACTGGATACTCTTGCAAAGGATGGTAGTAATTGCCTTGTGCTGAAAGTCGTGTAGTTGGTCTCTGTTGGGTAGTAGTAGGGGCATGTGGTAGTTCCAAAGGTAGTTGTTCCTGAGGCTGTAGTTGTCGGTGAAGGTGGTCATGTTGTAGTTCACCTTGTGCATGGTCTGTGGAATTGGTGTGGTCGGAAGGTAGTAGTTCTGTTGTATGGACATCATTTAGGAGA